CAAGCCACCGGTCCAGGAGTGTGAAGCCTTGAGAAAGGGAATGGCGGACACTACCCCTGCCAAAAGTGGGGGATAGGAGTTAAGGATGACAGAGGCGTCCCCATACGAGAAAGCAGTGGATTCAGCATTTGAAGTCAGGTTTATTTTTAAGTTCATGCTGCCTCCATTAAGAAGCAAGAGACCCCGGTGGTTTCTGGTGTGTGCCCTCCGGCAAATCACTTCCTCTCTGGGGTAAGCTGCAAAGGTCTGTGCTCCAGGAGTTGGCGTATCACTCACCAAGTGGGAACAGTCCTAATTCAAGGATTTCGTGTGTGTGAGAGACAGGGTCTAGCTCTGTCACCTAGGGGCTGGAGTGCAGTGGTGACATCACTGGTGGTCGAGCATAGTGGTCGAGCTCACTGCAGCCTTGACCTCCCAGTCTCAAGTCATCCTCCCGCCTGAGCCTCCTGGGCAGCTGGGCCCACAGGTGCCATGACGTTTGGCTAATTTTTAAATATTTTGTAGAGACGGAGTCTTCCCATGTTGTCCAGGCTGGTCTGGAAAGCCCAGGCTCAAGCCATCCTCCTCTCTTGGACTGTCTGAAAGTGTTGGGATTACAGGGGGATTACCGGCATGAGCCACCGTGCCTGGCAGAGGATTTTTTTTTTTTTTTTTTTTTTTTTTTGAGACGGAGCTTCACTCTTGTTGCTTGCTGCCCAGGCTGGAGTGCAATGGCAACGGCGTGATCTCGTCTCACTGCAACCTCTATCTCCCGGGTGCAAGTAATTCTCCTGCCTCAGGCCCCCGAGTAGCTGGGATTACAGGCGAACGCCACCACAGGCGCATGCTACCACACCTTTGTATTTTTGGTACAGACGGGATTTCTCCATGTTGGTCAGGTTGGTCTCGAACTTCTGAACTTGTGATCTGCCCGCCTCGGCCTCCCAAAGTGCTGGGATTACAGGCGTGAGTCGGATTTCTTTATTAAAGGTTGACCCTCATCAACCTCCACTGGCTCCACCTCCTCCGCGCCCCGGGGCGCCCCGCACAAAGATGGCGAAGTCGGTGCTGGGCGACTGTGCCTCCGCGGCAGGGGTGGAGAACCGAAGCCCCGCCCCGGGGAAGGCGGCCCCACCGGCTAGTGCTGACTCGTGTCGGCGCTCCTGCGCCTGCGCGGAGGGAGACGCGGGACAGGTGCGCGTGCGCAGTGCGCATCTGCGAGAGCGACTTGGACTCACTCGAGCTGAACCTCGGCTGCCTGCGGGTGGTCAGGGTTTTGGCAATTCCCCGGTGTGAGAGGGGTCGGGTGTGCTCCCGGCGGCGACGGGGCCGAGTTCACCAGCGGCCGCGGCAGTAGTCGAAGGCCCGGCTCGTTATGTCCTGGGTGCCGTGGTGCGGGCAGTGAACGCGCGCCGGGCGGGATGGGCCGACGCCGGGCGCCAGAGCTGTACCGGGCTCCGTTCCCGTTGTATGCGCTTCAGGTTGACCCCAGCACTGGGCTGCTCATCGCTGCGGGCGGAGGAGGCGCCGCCAAGACAGGCATAAAGAATGGTGTGGTGAGAGCTCAGAGCCACTGGGGCTGGGTCTTGCTGTGGGCTGGCGGCGATTCTAGGGTGGCCGGGGGTCGCGGGGCGGGCCACACTCCAGCTTCGGGCCCTGCCCACTTCTGTTGGGAAGACCCGCTTGCCTGACGCCACGGCGCGAATTTCAGTCGAGAACTCAGCAGGCAGAGGAGAGGCTTTTAAGGTAAAGTGAAAGCTGCACACAGCTGCAGAGCCGGCAGGAACGCTTCAGCTCCGCCTCGGAGCAGCTCCAGGGCTCTTATCCTGGCCTTTTCCAGGAGGTCTTGCCTGCCCTCTAGCAGCGGCGAGAGTGGTGCCTTTGGGTTTAGGCCTTTGGGTTCCTTCCCTCTTCTGAGCTTCACCCTGTTCTGTAAAATGGAGGTAATAATCCCAGTCCTGCTCAGTGTATAGATTTGTGAGGCCCAAATGAGAGAAAAAAGACTCGAGAACCCCTTGTGAACTATAACGTGCAGAAAGTAAAGGGGTAAGACATCAGACTGTTCCTAGACATGCTCTCTGGGCACCCCTGAACTTGCTCATCCGGGTTCCCCCTCCCACAGCACTTTCTGCAGCTAGAGCGGATTAATGGGCGCTTGAGTGCCTCCTTGCTGCACTCCCATGACACAGAGACACGGGCCACCATGAACTTGGCACTGGCTGGTGACATCCTTGCTGCAGGGCAGGATGCCCACTGTCAGCTCCTGCGCTTCCAGGCCCATCAACAGAAAGGCAACAAGGCAGAGAAGGCAGGTAAGGAGCTCTCTCCCTCTCTACCCGCTTGGGGAAAGGATTGAACGAGTAAGGTCACTCTTATCTTGGTGTCTCTAAAGAAGTGGGTCTGGAAGTAGGGTTTTGGTGGCAAGCTAGAAGCTGTATGGGCACCTGCCATGGAGAGAGGAGCCAGTACTCCTTACTGTAGAAGCCTAGAACCTGGCCAAGTGTTTGTGTTACAGGTTCCAAGGAGCAGGGGCCTCGACAAAGGAAAGGAGCAGCCCCAGCAGAGAAGAAATGTGGAGCGGAAACCCAGCACGAGGGGCTAGAACTCAGGGTAGAGAATTTGCAGGCAGTGCAGACAGACTTCAGCTCCGATCCACTGCAGAAAGTTGTGTGCTTCAACCACGATAATACCCTGCTTGCCACTGGAGGGACAGATGGCTACGTTCGTGTCTGGAAGGTGTGGGTTTGCGGGGTTAGGAAGGATGAATGTCAGTAACAGCAAGACCAAAATTGTGAGAAGCTGAACGTGGCATTTGGGAAACTTGTGAATGAAGCTTGCATTGAGGGGCCATTAGAAGGGAGTGGCGTGGAGATCAGTCACAGTGTACTTGCTGGACACCTGAGTTAACTATGGTGGTGGTTTGGCTACAGGTACCCAGCCTGGAGAAGGTTCTGGAGTTCAAAGCCCACGAAGGGGAGATTGAAGACCTGGCTTTAGGGCCTGATGGCAAGGTGAGGGGGTGGGGGTGGGAGGAGGATGGAGAAGGAGAGAGGAGGTGCTTATGCTGCTTGCCCAGTGAGTGGATCCCCTAACTGTCCATCCTTGGAATCTTTATTCCTGACTAGTTGGTAACCGTGGGCCGGGACCTTAAGGCCTCTGTGTGGCAGAAGAATCAGCTGGTGACACAGCTGCACTGGCAAGAGAATGGACCCACCTTTTCCAGCACACCTTACCGTTATCAGGCCTGCAGGTGTGAAGACTGCGGGGTGGCTGAAAGAGGCATAGCCCAGCTGTGGTGGGGGAGAGGGAAAAGACTGGGGATGAGAGAGCTGGGGAGGAACTTGTTGAGTTTTACCTCAGGTCTGACCAGGGTGCAGGTGGTGCACAAACCTCTGAGGAGGGTTGGGCAGGCCCCAGGAGCTGAATAGCTCTTCATCCGGCCCCCAGGTTTGGGCAGGTTCCAGACCAGCCTGCTGGGCTGCGACTCTTCACAGTACAAATTCCCCACAAGCGCCTGCGCCAGCCCCCTCCCTGCTACCTCACAGCCTGGGATGGCTCCAACTTCTTGCCCCTTCGGACCAAGTCCTGTGGCCATGAAGTCATCTCCTGCCTCAATGTCAGGTGTGAGACATTGCTGCCTTGGCTAGGTGGGGGTCCCTGAGGGAGCTTGGAAAGGAGTCCTGCCTGGGTCCCCGCGGACCGGGATTGGGGTATGAGGGTTGCTGCACAAGCCTCCAGGACAACGAGCACTTTATTGTTTGTTGCAGTGAGTCTGGCACCTTCCTAGGCCTGGGCACGGTCACTGGCTCTGTTGCCATCTACATAGCTTTCTCTCTCCAGGTAATGGGTGGAGGTTGGCATGGCCCTGTAGACTGTAGGCCTGTCTCTACCCTGAGTGTGCAGGAAGGAGTCTGGCCCGTTCTATAGAGGGAAAACCTGGGGTGGGGAGCATGCTTTCCAGAAAGACAGTTCCCAGCTAGGCCTTTCCTCACTCGTTTTCCTTCTACCCGCAGTGCCTCTACTACGTGAGGGAGGCCCATGGCATTGTGGTGACGGATGTGGCCTTTCTACCTGAGAAGGGTCGAGGTCCAGAGCTCCTTGGGTCCCATGAAACTGCCCTGTTCTCTGTGGCTGTGGACAGTCGTTGCCAGCTGCATCTGTTGCCCTCACGGCGTGAGTCATTGGGCGGGGCAGGCAGGCACCACCCCACCTTTAACTGGACCAGAAACATGCCCCCCGGGGGCTAGGCTCTTGTTTGTGCCACTCCCCCTTTGAAGGGTTCTGGTTTTCAGGCTGGGAAGCCCCTTTGCCTGCTGACCTCTCCCTTTCCCTTCTGCAGGGAGTGTTCCTGTGTGGCTCCTGCTCCTGCTGTGTGTCGGGCTTATTGTTGTGACCATCCTGCTGCTCCAGAGTGCCTTTCCAGGTTTCCTTTAGCTTCCCTGCTTCCTGGGAATCAGGAGCCTGGACACTGCCATCTCTAGAGTAGAGTGGAGGCCTGGACTCCCTTTGCTCACTCCATTCGGGTCCACAGCTGAGGCTGCCTCTGATAAGATGAATGGGCACTGCCTTCCCTTCTAGTGAAAAGGCTTGGTTATGGCCCTGCCTGACTCTGGGCCCCAGGAACCCTGCCTTCATCATCTGTGGATCCATCCAGAACAGTGGTGTCTGAAGCCCAGGCCATACTCCCTGCCTCTTTCCTTCTGCCTACTAGAGGCTCGAGAGTTGAGCTTGTCCTTTCTCTAGAAACATGTGAAGATGCCCAAGAGCCTGGAGGCACTGCTGTCCTTCCTGCAGAAACAGTTTCTCCTCCCCTCACAGCCTTGGGGCCAGTTCCCCTTCACATGAAGCCCCTGGCATTTGCTGGGGAAGGGACTGGCCTGGTACTTGCTGCTGGGGCAAAAAGACGACTTGGGTAGTAATCTGGGGGTTCAGATGGGTAGCACTAAGCCAGCCGGCCTAAAGATGCAGTAAGTTCCTAGATAGTTTAACCTTGAGGAAAGGGAAAATGAACCTCAGCCCACTAGGCAGGAAAAGTTGATATTTAATAAACAAGGAAAGAGTGAACTGAGACCCCCAATGGTACTCTTGTCAGCTATTTCTGTTCTCAGAAGGCGAGAGAGCCCAGAGGTCAGGCAGCCCCTCTGGGTGCTGGAAGATGGCTCTGGCGTACTGATGCAAGAGGCGGTTCATGTAGCAGTGCTGCCATGGGAGCAGCCCTTCCAGGAAGCCGACGTGGCCACCCCTGGCTGTGATGAGCAGCGCAACGTAGGGGGAGTGTTGGGCGGCCTCTATGGGAAGGGCTAGGAGAGGGTCAGGGGTCAGAAACGGCCTTTACTGGGAGCCCAGCCTGTCTGTCGCGTCCCTCATGGCCCATTTTCCTTGGGGCCAAAGGGTCCTGATTCAGAGTACTCACCACCGACGGGGGAGAAGGGGTCATCTGCTGCATTGAGACAGAGCACAGGGATCTGGATGGCATCTACCTTGGTTCTAGGTCTTGCTGCTTTGTAGTAGGTAACACAGTCTTGATATCCAAAGGCCACAGATGTGTAGCGCTCATCAAACTGGCGGATTGTGCGGGCCTGCAGGTGTTACCGTAGGATAGGCTAAGATGATAAAGAATGGGAAGATAGTGGAAGACTCATTTGGGGGGGCCCAGGGGCATGGCTGAAGATTATACCTGTAGCACAAATTCTATGTCCACCACCTTTTCAATCACCTTTCTGTTTCTACAAGAGTACATAAGAGTTTGGCTTGACACCTGGACCTGACCCCCCGCCCCCAGGCCCTGTCTTACTATCTCATGTGTGAAGAAGCCCAGAGAGAACTGACCGAGCACTAGGAGAGCTTGGAGTGTCTGCCATCCTACTCTGTCTACTGCCTCCTCCCACTTGCCACGACCCTACCGTTCCACAAGCTGGCAGAGCGCAGCAGTGAGGGGCCGATTGAAGAGCAGTGAGTTGAGTGGGGTTTCCAGGGAGCGGGTGGTCTCAAAGGAATCCCAGCATGCAGACAGAGTCAGTGCTGCCACCAGCCCTGCAGCCTGCCCGGCCTGTGCCAGGTGATTCAGCACCAGTATCCTGTAGAATTGGACAAGGGACCATGAAAGGAGGGTTTGCATTAATGTGAGTTGGGACAGAGGGAGGGGACATGGAGGAGGAAAGGAAGACTGGGCCTCTGGGTTAAGCCTAGGCAATCTTTACTCTCCAAAAGAGGTGCCCACGGCTAGCAGTGGAGCTTGGGGATAGCGGTGCTTTATGTGGTTCACGACTGTCTGTAGATCTTCAGTATTGCTGGCACAAAAAGCCCTGTGGGTCTGAGGGCAAATCAGATCATTAGGTAGGGAGGGAGACCGTGGTCAGAAGGTGGAGGGGAAATTGAGGAAGGAGAGGTAGGAGGTAGAGCCCCAGGGCCAAGGATCTCTAAAGGGAGTGGGTAAAGGGCTACTATGAGGAAGGCCGCTACTCACCCGCAGTTCCTCCCCACGGCAGCCCCGGTTGTTAAACATGACAGCCCTGTGGCACACAGGTACATCTTAGCCAGACCCTTCTTAGCCCCTCTTCCCTTTCAGTAGTCTTCAGAAAGACCCCTGTCCAAAGATTCCCTTTGTGTAGCATTCTTCATATCTATCAGTGTCCAGATTGATTTCTCCCTAGTACACGTTCTCAGATGCCACCCCACTCCGGGGCTGCACCCATCCTTACTGGTAGCCATTCCTCAGAGCTTGGTTAACTAGGTGCAAGATGTATGTCTCCTGGCTACTGCCGGTGATGCCAGGAAGCGGCAGCACAATGGGCTGGGTAGTAGGATCAGGGTCTTGGCTGCTGTCAGGCTGCTTGGCCCAGTCTAGCAGGAGCTGGCCTCCATCTGGTGTTTGGAGGATGTCACTGTGGTTTTGGAGGAAGAGGCACACAAAGATAACAATGTAATTCAAAAGCTTTGTCCTGTGCCCCACCCATAAACGAGTCTCATAACTTCCCATCAGCATCCTCTGAGGGTGTTTTTCATGTAAAACAGTAAGGCTTGACAATGTGGGCTGGGGACATAAAAGATCATGACCTGATGGCCATGCAATTATATAGCCCTTCCATGTAACATCCACTCTCATTGTACCCTCAACACAGGGATGTAGATGGGACAGATTACCTACATTTTAAAAGTGGTAAATAGATTTTCCCTAGATACCTGGGGTTTCACGTTCACCCTGTTCTGTCCCTTCTTACCTCTGATAAAAGACTAGGGGCTGAGACCGCAGGAAGACTTGGAAGATGCTTTGTAGTCGCCCCTCAAAACACCACAGCGTTGGGTAGAAAGTCTCCGTGGTGATGGAACAGTGTTGCTCCAGGAAGGCCAGAAACTGTGGCCCAGCCACCAGCCGAGGCCTCTGTAATCACACAACAGTCTGCCCCACTTCCCTGACTTTTGCACCAAGCTAATGAGGCACCCAACACCAGAGGGTGAGAGGGCCCCTCTCCAGAGGCCAGCCAGGAGGACCCTGCTTTGTCTGCACGTGAGATACTCAGCACAGCTCAGTTGAATGGCCAAGTCTCTGATAATACACTCCAGCTAGAGCCCCTAAAAACCCAGTCTTGGAGTGTCACTGCCCAGAATTGACCCTGAACTGGGAGCTGCTGAGTTGACTGAGTGCTGACTTTCCCGCTCAGCCTATCCATGCCCCAAACCCATTTTGGAGACAGCAGGTAATGTAAATAGCCAGGTTCAGTGGTGTGCGCCTGTGGTCCCAGCCACTTGGGAGGCTGAGGTGGGAGGATCGCTTGAGCCCAGGAGTTCAAGGCTGCAGTGAGCTATGATAGCACCACGGTTCACTAGCCTGGGCGACAGTGAGACCCTGTCAATAAATAAGTGCCCAGCTGATCCCCTGCAGAAAAAGTCGGGGTTCTGGGCAGGGGCTGAAGAAACGCAGCACCATTCAATCTTCAACCTTTACTTTGCAGTTGAAAATGAAGCCGACCGGGCGCAGTGGCTCGTGCCTGTAATCCCAGCACTTTGGGAGGCTGAGGCGGGTGGATCATGAGGTCAAGAGATGGAGACCATCCTGGCCAACATAGTGAGACCCTGATTCTACTAAAAATACAAAAATTAGCCAGGCATGGTGGTGCATGCTTATAGTCTCAGCTACTCAGGAGGCTGAGGCAGGAGAATCGCCTCTGCACTCCAGTCTGATGACAGAGCAAAACGCTGTCTTTTTTTTTGAGACAGAATCTCTGTCACCCAGGCTGGAGTGCAGTGGCGCGATCTTGGCTCACTGCAAGCTCCACCTCCTGGGTTCACGCCATTCTACTGCCTCAGCCTCCCGAGTAGCTGCTACTACAGGCGCCCACCCAGGCCGGCCTAATTTTTTGTATTTTTAGTAGAGATGGGGTTTCACCGTGTTAGCCAGGATGGTCTCAATCTCCTGACCTCTTGATCCGCCCGCCTTGGCCTCCCAAAGTGGTGAGATTACAGGCGTGAGCCATCGCACCTGGCCTAAGGGGCTTCTTTCTACCAGGGACCTTATCTTCTCTTACTTGTGGGGCCCCTGCTGTTAGATTGTGCTTTAAAGGAAGAACAGCCCTAATGTGAATCGATGTTTTTCTTCCTTCGTGCCAGCCAGGGGGAAGGTGACAAGGATGAAATAACAGGGACAGATGAGGTCACTGGGCACTGAGCCCTGACTTTCAGCTTCTCTGATGTATTCTGGACAGACCTCAAGTGAATGAGAGAGCCTAGCCACGTAGAAGGCATGTGAAGGAGGAGTATGCCATAGGTTCAAGAATAGAAACTGCATATCTGCAATGAGTCCTAAGGAACATGAAGACCAGGTTTCTATCTCCAGTATAGTCCCCATACTCTACAGGGGCAAATGGCAGAGAGGCCAAGTTGATAGTGCAACTGTTGGGAGATGTGACTTTCAACCCTAGTTCTTAAGCCCTGGAATTATGACAGCTGTCAGTCGTGTGCAGGCACTGGACTAAGCCCAAGCTTATGAGATATTTTGTAAGTGAAGAAGTTATGACTGACAGATGTTAAGTGGTTTGTCCAGTTACACAGCAAGCAAGAGGCAAAACAAAATTACTATGACATTACCACCAGTACTTGTAGGTAAGATTTGTTGAGTGCTCATTAAGCTCCAGGCATTGTGCTAAGCACTTCACACAAATTTTGTCTTGTGATTTTCACAACAGTTTCATGAAATAGGTTGTACTTGAATGCTGAATAACTTGTCAAAGGTCAGAAGCGTGCCAGAACTAGTTAGTGGCAGAGCAGGAGATTCAAACCCAGGTCTTTCTGACTCTAGAGCCTGCGCTGCCTAGTCACTGTTGTGTATTGCCTCCTAATTGCCAAGATTTTGAGTTGCTATCCATTTTTTTTTTTTTTTCCTTGAGACGGAGTTTTGCTCTGACACCCAGGCTGGAGTGCAGTGGTGTCATCTCAGCTCACCACAACCTCTGCCTCCTGGGTTCAAGCGATTCTCCTGCCTCAGGCTTCCGAGTAGCTGGGATTATAGGCATGTGCCACCACACCTGGCTAATTTTTGTATTTTTAGTAGAGACGGGGTTTCTTCATGTTGGTCAGGCTGGTCTCGAACTCCCGATCTCAGGCGATCCTCACACCTCTGCTTCCCAAAGTGTTGGGATTACAGGCGTGAGCCACTGCACCCGGCCCTAAGGAAGACATTTAGTAAACAATAAATGCTAATGTAGAAAGCTCTGAAAATATGGAAAAGTCTCGGTAACACTAAAGGCTCCTGTAGACCTTTTTAAAGGACTCGAACCAGTAGGTGTCTTGTTAGACTCAGCTACCTAGAACAGAGTTTAATGAAGATGAAAATATTTGGCTTTTCCTGGATATGTAAATTATGTATTTATCTAAATTTCAGTGAGAAAAATCTCCAAATTCATCAAAATCAACCTCTTCAAACTTTCTCATCACACTATATGGAGAGCCTGGAACATAAAACAGGGCTGAATGAGCAAGGACAGTTCGGGTCATCCATCAGTTCCGAGCTAGGCCAGTTTCTGGCCTCAGCCAGCCCTTAAGGGAAGGGAGGCCCTACTAAGCTATTTGGGGGTGGGTGGTGTTGGGAGTTAGCCATGACCCCACAGACCTCTGGTTCCTTCCTTCAGTGCAGCTGAAAGACTCAGCTAAACCACCTAAAAAGGAACGGAAAGTGTGCACATCTCTGACACCTCAGGATGCCTTCCAACCCACTTTTCCCAAATGCTTGTCCACATCATAGAGAGCAGCACCCTCCGGTGCCCAAAAGGCCCAGGTGGCATGGGGAGCACATGGGATGCAGAGGCACTAGGGAGGCAGAGCCGAGTCTCCATTCGGTGGGAGCAAATTTCATCTGTGGGGAAGCCCAACCATTCCAGCTCCCACCAAGGGCTCAAGCCCGTGTCTGGAAGCTGCCCGTACACCCAAACCTGCCGGCCAGAGCACTGGACCCGCACCCACCTGAAGGACACATCCCCAGTAGTAGCCCAAGTAGAGGGCAACGGCAAGAGCCAAGGGCAGAGAAAAGGTGTCTGCCCAGGTGCCATTCTGGGGGCTCAGGAAGGAGTTCAGCATCTTGTGTTGGGGGCTTCCGACCCTCAGGCTCCTGGCTGGCCCTGGCTCGCCGGCCGCCTGCCATAGGCAGCCTGTGCAGGTCCTGTCCCCGCTGACGGCCGTTCGCGCTGCCCGCCCTGCCCACCGCCGGTGCCCGCGGCTAGACGGCGAGAGGCGGTGCTAGTTGGTCGCTGGGCTGGGCGGCTGCGCCTAGTGTCCCGCGCGGAAGTAACTCGAGCGACCTGCGAATGGCCTCCCGCCCTCCCCTGCCTTCTGCTTCCCCTCTGCGGTTCCTGGCTCTGGAGCCCGAGACAAGCGGCCTCCCCCAGCTGCCATCTTGGTGCGCGGCATCTCCAGGTCCCTCAAACTCTTCCCCGGCGACGCCCTGAGTCCAGCAGCCTGGCCAGAGCCCCTCAGGCACTCACAGTCAGTCACACACAGGACACAGCTACTCCCACGGTGACATTCTGCTCTGTCACAGACTACAGTCATTCACAGTGACCCTCACCAGTCACTGTCCGACTGTGACACCCCACACTGTCACAAAGCTTTCAGCTGCTCAGTGTTGGCATTGCACACACATGCAGCTTCCTGCAGTGTCACTCTGTGTTGTCTCATACAGTCCCTGCCACACAGTCCTCCTACAGAAGATAATTTGCTCACCACCCGCTCTGTACCAGGCACTTGATGCAGACCCCCCCATGTTACTGTCCCTGTCTTCATTGAAATATGGGAGGTCGTCTACTAAGAGTAATGGCTTTCAACCTTGACTACAGATCGGAATCATCTAGGATTTTTAAAACTACCAGTGCCCAGGCCCTACCCCCGATACAGTTGGTCTGGAGAGGAGCCTAGGTATCAGTATACTGTAAAGCTTATAGGAGGTTCACAAGTCATCAGGGCTTAACAGAGTCCACACAAGGGAAGTACCAGCTGTCATGGGAGCACTGCGGGGGTGCCCGGACTTCCTGGGAGGGTGTTCTAGAAGATGGGGCAGCATAGGCAAAAGCCTGGAGGTGAAGGATGTCTTAAGGGAACAGAAAGAAATTTGGTGTGGCTGGAACGTGTGGGTGGTCAAGGACCACATAATTGCTGCAGTTTATCCTAGGTCAGAGGAAAGCCATCCTAGGGTTTTAAGAAGGGAAGAGTGACATGAGTTAAGTTTTAGGAGAATCATTCAGTTGCTGGGAGAATAGATTGAAGGAGGAGGAAAGTAAAAACAAAGAGGCCACTGGGAGGCTGCTAACAATGCCAGGCTCAAAAGATGCCTGGACTGGAGTATACCCAGGAGAGGAGTGAAGAGCTTCAAGATCAGAGGCACAATTGATAGGACCTGGTGGTAGATTGGAGGCAGGGGAAGAAGGAGGAACACGGATGCCCCCAGGTTTCCGACTGCACAGACATAAAGTGCCCATCCCTGGGATAGGGAAACAGAGGAGAGGAAGATTTGAAGAGGAAGATGATGCATTTAGACACAGACGTGTAGAGGATGGGGTGCTGGTGAGTGTTTTAACTGCGTTTCCCTAGGTTCTGTATTTGTCTCTTTGGCATCCATAAATCACAGGGCCAACCTAATGTCCAGGGTTATTTACGTCTCCCTTGCAATCCAGAGCTCATACTCTGAGTCACTTCCTTTCTCTAACTTTCACATCCCAAGCCAGTATCTCCCCTACTCTAAATCAACCCAGGACCAGGTAACTAGTACCAGTCCCTGTGCCCCAGAGTGCTCGGGGATTATTCAAACTAGGCAGCCCCAAACCACTTCTCCTGCCTTACTGGGTGAAGTACACCCCAGTAAAGGCCGGTACCTTCCCCTCGCTCCTTTCTGCCTCCTATGTGATACTGGCACTTCCCCCTGTGACTGTGCCTTTTGTTTCTAGGGGAACTGTGAATAACATTAAGCTTTTCTTTCAATGGCAGTGACCTCTTCATGTCCTCACTCAGCCACCTTTATAAATTAAGACTCAGGCACAAATTAGTAGGATATTCAATGCCTGACATGGCCTGGGGCTTAGAGATTGGAGCTGGAGAATTGGTAATCATCGGCATTTAGGTGGTGTATTAGTTGGCAGTTTGCTCTAAGAAAGCACTACAAACTAGGTGTCTTAGACCAGGGGTCCCCAACCCCCTGGGCTGCAAATTGGTACTGGTCCATGGCCTGTTAGGAAGCAGGTGGCATAGCAGTAGGTGAGCAGGGTGAGCAAGAATTACCACCTGAGATCAGTGGTGGAATTAGATTCTCATAGGAGTGCAAACCCTATTGTGAACTGCACACAAGAAGGATCTAGGTTGCGTGCTCCTTATTAAAATCTAATGCCTGATGATCTGAGGTGGAAGTTTCATCTCAAAACCATCCCCCTCACCCCCAACCCTTCTGATATGTGGAAAGATTGTCTTCTCTGAGGCTGGGCACTGTGGCTCACGCCTGTAATGCCCAATGCTTTGAGAGGTCAAGGCAGGCGAATTACCTGAGGTCAGGAGTTCAAGACCAGCCTGGCCAACATGGTGAAACCTCGTCCCTACTAAAAAAAATACAAAAAAATTAAAAATAAAAATTAGCTGGGTGTGGTGGCGCACACCTGTAATCCCAGCTACTCGGGAGGCTGAGACATGAGAATTACTTGAACCTGGGAGCCGGAGGTTGCAGTGAGCTGAGATAGCACCACTGCACTCTAGCTGGGATGACAGAGTGAGACTCTGTCTCAAAAAATAAAACAAAAAACAAAAAGCATTGTCTTCTCTGAAACTGGTCCCTGGTGCCAAAAAGGTTGGGGACTGTCTTAAACAACAGAGATTTATTGTCTCACACTTCTGGAGACTAGAAGTCAAGATTGAAATATCAGTAGGATGGGTTCGTTCCGGGAGCCATGAGGAATAATCTATTCCGTGCCTCTCCCCTGGCTTCTGGTGTTTTGCTGGAAATCTTTGGCACTCCCTGACTGGTAGAAGCATCACCCTGATCTCTGTCTTCATCTTCACAAACATCTTAGTGTGTTTGCGCTGCTATAACAAAACCCCACAGACTGGGTAATTTACAAACAACAGAAATTTATTCCTCACAGTTCTGGAGACTGGGAAGTCCAAGATCCAGGCACTGGCAGGTTCGGTGTCTGAATGTCTGTGCCTCAGAGATGGTGCATCTGGGTTTCCTCACGTGATGGAAGGGACAGAAAGGCAAGAGAGCAAGAGGGCTGAACTCTCTCAGAAACCTCTTTCATAAGTCATTAATCCGTTCACGAGGGGAGAGCCTTCATGGTTTCATCATGTCCCAAAAGGCCCTACTTCTTTTTGTTTTTTTTCAGAGGCAGGATATTGCTCTGTCACCAATGTTGGAGTACAGTGGCAGGATCACAGCTCACTGTAACCTCAAATTCCTGGACTCAAGGGATCTGCCTGCCTCAGCCTCCCAAATAGCTGGGACTACAGGCATGCACCACCATGCCTAATTTTTTATTTATTTATTTATTTATTTATTTATTTATTTATTTATTTATTTACTGTAGAGACACGGTCTCACTATATTGCCCAGACTGGTCGAAAACTCCTGGCCTCAAGAGATCCTCCCACTTCAGCCTCCCAAAGTACTGGGATTACAGGTGCGAGCCACTGTGCCCAGCTTCCTCCTCTTAATATCACCACAATGATGACTAAGTTTCAGCACATGAATTTGAATTTGGGGGGATATTCAGGCCATAGCAGTGTTCTTCCTGTGTGTGTGTCTGTGTCCACATTTCCTCTTTTGATATGAACACCAGTCATATTGATTAAGGGCCCACCCTACTCCAGTATGAACTCATCTTAATTAATTACATCATTATTTCCAAATAAGATCACAGTCTGAGGTATTGGAAGTTAGGACTTCAACATATAACTTTGTGAAGGACACGAGTCAATGCGTAACAGTAATGGGAGCTAGGTGAGCAAATGAGCACATGAGCAGATGGAGAGTGAGGAGAGGGCCCCGAGGAACTCTGATGCTAAAGAAAATGGAGGCCGGGCGCGGTGGCTCAAGCCTGTAATCCCTGCACTTTGGGAGGCCGAGACGGGCGGATCACGAGGTCAGGACATCGAGACCATCCTGGCTAACATGGTGAAACCACGTCTCTACTAAAAAATACAAAAAATAGCCGGGCGAAGTGGCGGGCGCCTGTAGTCCCTGCAACTCGGGAGGCTGAGGCAGGAGAATGACGTAAACCCGGGAGGCGGAGCTTGCGGTGAGCTGAGATCCGGCCACTGTACTCCAGCCTGGGCGACAGCGCGAGACTCTGTCTCAAAAAAAAAAAAAAAAAAAAAAAAGAAAATGGAGACCTTTTTGAAATGACCAGAGGTAGGAGAGGTGTTGCTGAAACCAGCGGAATCCGTGATCTAAAGAGGCAGTGACTAGCAGTGTTCATCACTAGGAGGAAGACAGGATGAGAGTGGGCTTGTCGCTGTGACGGAGTGTCACAAACAACTCAGGAAGAGTTCACCCTGACACCCCAATACATATGCCTCTAACACTCTGCACTGCCACACCCCTGGGCAGTCAGTCACACGTTGGCCATACCCTGAAGCACATACTATCATTTATTATTTATTTATTTATTTATTTATTTATTTATTTATTTATTTATTTATGTTTTGAGACAGAGTCTCGCTTTGTCACCCAGGCTGGAGTGCAGTGGCGCAATCTCCGCTCACTGCAAGCTCCACCTCCCGGGTTCACACCATTCTCCTGCCTCAGCCTCCGAAGCAGCGGCGACTACAGGCGCCTGCCACCACACCCAGCTAATTTTTGTCTTTAGTAGAGACGGGGTTTCACTGTGTTTACCCGGATGGTCTCGATTTCCTTACCTCGTGATCCTGCCGCTTCGGCCTCCCAAAGTTCTGGGATTACAGGCGTAGGCGTGAGCCACCGTGCCTGGCCCCTGAAGCCCACACTATCACATGGATGCACAGTCACACAAAATACTCCCTACCGTGTCACAAATTCCTCATACACAGAGCCACACATGCCAGCCACAACTGCACATGCTAATAAT